CGTAAACAAATAGGAATATTTTAATTCAAAAATTATAATTGATTTTATTACCTACCTATATACAGTTCCTTGCAAAAGTCTTCATACCCCTTCATTTTTTTTTTACATTTTATGTTGCTGCCTTATGATAAACTTCTTTAAATTACTTTTTTTCCACATCAATCTACACTCCATACACCATACTGACAAAGCAAAAACAGAATTGTCACAACTTTTAAATTTATTAAAAATAAACAACTGAAATAAGTACATTGCATAAGTATTCATACCCTTAACTAAATATTTAGCTGAAGCACCTTAACAGCCTCAAGTCTTTTTTTGATGTGACAAGCTTTGCTCATCAGTATTTTGCAATCATCTGCCGTTCTTCTCCTCATCTCTTCACCTCTCAAGCTCTGTCAGGTTGGATGGGAGCAAATGCACATTTTCAAGTTTCTCCAGAATTATTCATGAAAGTAAAATAAAATGTATATATATATATATATATATATATATATATGAAATTAAAATATTATAATTTATAAAATAATTTATAATTTTGGAAGTGTGGAGAAATAAGGGCTTTCTTTTAATCAGCATTTTTAAGTAGCATGCTATATGTGTTATTAAATTTTAAATATATATTTGAACAATGCAGACTTTGTATCTGTTTTTGGTTCCTAACAACAGGCCAATCTATATCTCCCCAGTGCCCATGTGTTTATTCAAATCTCAAACTGAAGCAGTTGGTTTATTCTTTGTTCCAGAGACTCTCGCATGCATAGAAAAAAAAGGGATCGAAAGTGTCAACAAAATCTCTCACCACAATGTAGAATTGCAACACAATATTCTTTTCACCAGTTTTTATCAACAACTTTGTAGCAGTAACCGTTCAAAGCGCTGATTGTCTGCTATTCATTGTTAAGCTGCTCAGTAAGAACTCAATTGAATCCATACACTGAAAACAACCTCACAGTAGGGTTTATTTGGACATACAACTCAGAAAAAAAAAGAAATTAGCAGACATGTCTATCATATTTACACAGCTGCATTACTCACCTGCTCTGGTGTATGCAGTGGTTTGTACTTCTGTCGGCATGGTTGATGTAGTCTGTCTCTAGATCACAGAAGAAAAATAAATGATCATGAGATGCAGAGGATATTTTACAAAAATAACCTTTTAGAGCAAACTGAATTCAATTTTAAAGGGATAGTTCACCCAAAAATGAAAATTCTGTCATTAATTACTCACCCTCATGTCGTTTCAAAGCCGCAAGACCTATGTTCATCTTCAAAACACAAATTAAGATATTTTTGATGAAATCAGAGAGCTTTCTGACCCTGCATAGACAGCAAGGGAACTACCATGATCAAGGCCACTACTAAGGGTATTCACCAGAGGACCACGACTCATGCGTGTTCTACGTCAGCAGCACCACAAGCATGCGTCGTGGTCCTCTTGTGAATTGCAGTGGAAAGTGAGAGGGAAGAAAAGAAATGGCTGAATAAAGTCTTTTTTTGTTTGTTTTCTTTGCGCACAAAAAGTATTCTCGTAGCTTCATAACATTACTGTTAAACCGCCGATGTCACATGGACTATTTTACCAATGTCCTTACTGCCTTTCTGGGCCTTGAACGTGTCAGTTGCGTTGCTGTCTACTCAGGGTCAGAAAGGTCTCAGATTTCATCAAAAATATCTTAATTTGTGTTCTGAAGATGAACGAAGGTCTTACAGATTTGGAACGACATGAGGGTGAGTAATTAATGACAGAATTTACATTTTTGGGTGAACTAACCCTTTAACACAACTCACCACAGTTTGTTTCTGTTCGTTTGGTACCAGGGTCTGCAGTGTTGAGACCATTAGACACAGACAGACTATCATGAAAAAAACAAAAAACTTTGGATTACATGAATTACACTAATATTCAGAAACACACTTATTTGTCATTGTAAGACAGCAAATTCCAGCAGTTTGGGGAATATTGACAGGCATGGAAAAAGATGCAGGAAGGGAGTAGATGAAGAGAGAGGCATGGAACATCCTCCCTTTGTTCTGAGCAGTTGGATCATGAAAGTCATTTCCTCAGAAGCTGTCTAATTTATCTGTGTCTACCATATAGTAACTTAAAGCATCATTTTAAAGAAGTCAGCAGTATAATTTACATGACATTCCATTATATTTTCTATGTGGTCATGAGGGCAATAAAGTTATATTATTTGAAATTATTAATTAACATTAATAGATTATAACAGAATTATTGACATATGTGTGTGTATACATACATACATACACACACTACATATTCTTATATATAATCAAACCAGAATTAATATTCTGAATTATCAATTAGAAACATATAAAATTCAGATACAAAATGTTTACAGTATTGAAGATAGCTAATAAGAATTTTCTTCTGGAGATTGCCTCAGATTTTAATTTTCAAGCACATTAAACCAAGTTTTTATTCTGGAGGTTCAGATACTCACCCCAAAACAGAAGAGTCCCTGCTGGTTTCGAAGTAGATATAGATATGTGCGCCATTACGCTTTAATCCTGTGGTGGTTCTATCTGTCTGTCCACCTCAGCTTGCAAAAATCACATGTATGAACTCTTCAACAGGAAGACTCTATTAAAACAACAGGATGTGCTCATTTCCTTAAAGGGGTGGTGGATTCACAAATGGAGAGACATTACAGATGGGGCGGGCGGTCTATTATGTCCCAATGTTGCCATCATCTGTCTCTCTAAATTTCATTCACATTATCTTCACTGTCACTTTCTCTCTATCTATCTTCTGCCTATTTGTCTGTCATATAAAATATGTGTGTTTGTCACTGTACACTTTAGTTTAACAGCATATTTGTTGTGTACATTCATTTTAGATGTTTTTCCTCTAACACTACTCTCAGTCAGTTTCAGTAGGAGAGTCTGAGTGGATGGACTGGAAACTTTTTTTTTTTTTTTAATTAACAAAGCATGAGCCATGATTTGCTTTTAGTTTGGCTCATTTGTTTATCATGTAGAGTATATATATGATGTGATGTATGATGTTTTGGTGTAAGACCAGCTGGTATTTACTGAGGAAACAGTGCGGAAATGGAGGAATCTGCTATTCAGGATGCTTTCCACATTGTTGTTTACACATATTTCACTTATTAATTACATTATAAATGATTTATTATCAATTATGTACAATCCCAATATAGGGTGTGTTCAAAATCCCAAACCTGCATGTTCTTCTGCATGGACAACCAAATACATGTATAATATAAAATAATTACATTGTAACTAAGACATTTCTTTAAAATATTAGGCAAGAACTGGCTTCTGTGGTAGGTCTCACAGTGTTTATTATTATAGAGTTGAGTAAGCAGCCTCATTTCAAACAGACTGTTTCTTTTAATGTTTCTGGCAGGGATTCTGTTGACCTCATCGGGCCGTTCAGGGGGTCTTACCCCAGGTGCTTTGGAGAGTGAACTGTGCTGCAGAGATAAAGCCTGATGACAAATCCACCCCCTGAGCATTGGCTCAGAGGAGTGTCTACCCTCGCTATTGACGTACACAGAGCTACACCACTCTACACCATTGACGCATGTACACTATGACCACCACTGGCATGCACTAAGTTCAGCTCAGGAGTGATGCAAGAGGAGAAAGTATCATTCCCTTAACACTCTCTCACAGCCACAGATGTGTAAGTCAACGTCATTTGGCGATTCCCCCTCTCTCACTCAGCTAGACTTGGTCTGGTGCCTGGTGAAGTTCTGAGGACCCAAATTACTTCCACATTTGATTCACATTAGTAAGGAGAGGCTTGTTTTCCACCCTTAATTGGTTTGCTCGGTTTATAAAGCAGATTAAGTTAGAGGGACAGAAAACACGGGGTTTATTTAGCAGTTTGGGACACTTCAATTTCATAGAATTGGAGTTCAAAATGATTTTACAACTGATAAACATCAGAAAAGCTGATTATAATTGGGATCACACAGGGATGACATTGTCACACTGATATTGTGGTTCACTAAAATAAAGTTTAGTAAAGTCAAAAAACTTTTTTTTTTCCATAGGAACACATGCTGCTCAGGTTTGTGAACAGAAAATGTGCTCAAATTGTCCATGAATGCAATGTAGGTCAGTGGTTTTCAAACTGTGGGTCACAACCTGTAGTCTGATATTTCATGAAACAAGTGACTCTTATAAGTCAGTTCTTTTAATGAATTCTTCAAAAAGACTCACAATCTCAAGAGTTCAGTCTGAATCCCTTAGCCAAAGAATTAACGTACTCAATCCATAAGTGTGGCTACTGAATCTTACTGGACCTCCATGTCAATGAATCTCTCTCTGTTAAAAAATATTTCAGTCTTAAATTAATTATGACTTTGTATGTTTGTTGTTATTTTCTTCTGATAAAAGTTTTAAGTGAGACCTACACTTTTAAAAAATAAAGGTTCTCTACTGGAATCTATAGAAACTTTCCACTGTACAAATGGTTCTTTATAGTTGGAAAATGTTCTTTAGATTTTTAACATTTTCTTCACACCTAGAAAGAAACTCTTTTTTTAAGAACTGTTTACTGAAAGTTTTTTTTTTTTTTTTTTTTTTGGTGGAACCCATGGCACCACTGCAAAAATCCCCTTTTGGAACTTTTAGTGTGTTCACTGATGCCATAATATAATAAAAAGTATGTAAAAAAGTAAGTAAACGATATTTCTTTTGTATTCAAATATCAATCTCAAACAGAAAGCTTGTATACACATTTGCATTTACATCCTTTACATTTAGCACATGCTTTTAGCCAAACTTACTTACAAAAGAGGAGCCTCTGTATCTGGAGTTGTTCAACAGCATGTCAAACGTCACAGTCTCTACTATATTTCATTTCATCCTCTAAACTCGGGGCCTCAGAGCAAAGAGCCCATCCCTCAGTACCCCACACACTGGCTGATACTAATCTTCATTTGACATGCCAAAACCAACATCCAGGGTTTACACTGCACATAATTAAAAACTTTCCACAGATAAGACCTCCCTCTTATGTCTATCTTTCTGCCTGTGTTTGCTTCTGTTGTGAGGTCCAAGACAAACACCGGACTGGCCTAAGAAAACCCTGTTAGGATGGGCCCATTACTGGGATAAGGGTGTGAGGAAAAATTCTGTTACCACTCCATCTATCACATACTGAAGTGCTGAGCAACACCACCTCAACTCTACAGACAGAAGAAGCTAAAACACCTGCACATGTCCAATCTTTAACCAAGCCTGCATAAACTGCATAAGCATAAGCCAACACACACAATGTCAGTATCAGAAAACAGAAGACAGAAAATCTGATTAAAATCTGATACAGTAAACAAAACATCAGTATCTAACAAAATATTTTTTTCCTTGTTAGTTAAAGGGATTGTACCATCATTTACTCACCCACATGTTGTTCCAAACCTGCATTACTTTCTTCTGTGGATCACAAAAGAAGTTACTCTGAAGAATGTTGGCAACTAAACAGTTTAGGTTACAACTGACTTCCATTGTATGAACAAAAACACTGAGGTGTTCCTCAAAATATCTTCTTTTATGTTCCACAGAATAAAATAAAGTCATATAGGTTTGGACTGACATGAAGGTAAATGATGAGCCAATTTTCATTTTTGGTGAACTGGTCTACATCTACTATGTCTTTTATGTTAAAGTATCAAGTATGCAACAAAAAATCTCCCAACGTTTTTCTTTAAGTCATTAATCTGTGAAACCAAACCAAATATTATTTCCATGTTCTTACACAACAAAAAAAGTTTGTTCTTTCACTTGTAACTTAATGCTATTCAGAGAATGTCAATGAATACTCCGGGACAGTTATGTCAAAAACTAAAATGAAAATCCCTGTGTTCCAAACATTACTTCCTTGCTTGTGAAACACAAAAAGAGTCGCCATTCACTTCACTGCATATTTTTTTTAAACAAAATCTAAAACTGAATAGGGTCTGAGATTGTCCTTCTGCCTAATATCTTATTCTGTGTGTTTAAAGAAAGAAAGCCAAACAAGTTTAGAGCAATTTGAGTTCTGACTTTTGGGTGATTTATCTCTTTAAAAAAAATAGGACTGAGGTATAAATGGCTACATGCCGCCACCTAGTGGATTTATAAATATCAAAACATCTGTCGAAATCAAGCTAAATGAGATGTATTCTTAAATTATATAACATTATATAACTTATTATTATTGCATTTCTAGTTGTAGCATTACTATACCATGCCTATACTATTATTTTTATTGATTTATTATACAGATATTTTAAAAATAATAGTGGCAACAGCATTCATTGGTGCTCACATAATAGTAATAGCCAATTACTGATCTAATCTGTGCCAGGCAGTGGTGAATGTGTAAAGCATTTATTGCTATTCATACTGTTAATCTGCGTTGCGATCTCTCTCTCTCGCGCGTTCTCGTTGGTCACGTGTGATTTACAGAGAAGGGCAGTGCCTTCTATCACGCTGCCCTCGCTCGCACTCTGGAGGAAAACAGCACATGCTAAGCGCTGCGGATCTCAAGGGAGCCGTCCAAAAACAACAAGCATTGGATCCTCAAGCCAAGCCCCTTTGCGCGGAGCCTTCTGTCTCTGCATACATTAACATCCACGTGTACATATACGTAGGCTATATGATTAGGTATCTTGCTATAATGTAACTACTTAAATTGTTTATATGTCACATGTTTTTATGCCATCAGCACTTTATTTTTTATATATTTAAAATGCTTTTTTTTTTTTTTGCATGTGTATTTTTATTTATAATTAACATTATAAAGCACGCCACTATGGGAATATTCAATAATAATAATATTAATAATAGACGGATAATCGTTATTAATCGATTAATCAAATTTTAAATGACGCTTATTAAATGTCAGAGCTCATGCACATATTTGCATGCAGGCTATTAATTATTCAGAAAATGAGTTGCATTATTATTTTCCTCCTCTGCGCACTCGTAGCCTGTGGTCCAGCCAAAGAGAGCTGGAGTATGCTCATAATAAAGACGTCACCCTGTGCTTTGACCGTGCCAACTACAATCTCGACATGCGTACGGACGTCCGAGGAATCCTCGCATCCCTAAACACAAGCAGTCTGGCACCGACATCTGCAGCGGCTCGCTAGCCAGGACACCGTTTTTCACTACAGGACGTTTTTGGGCACGCGGACTTCTTTGCTGCGCACTTGAAGCTGAAGCTGATTCGCGTGAGGGTTTAAAGGAAGGAGCAGGGACTCTTAAGGTATTTCAAACTGCGACGGCGATGTCTCCGTATCGTTATTCAGCATGCGCGAGAAAGCTAGAGCATGTGCACAAGACATGTTTAATAAATCGTCTCGGCGTGTATCGTTTGCTTAGTAGTGTCTATTGCACGTATTTTAACGTGTGGCGTTGTTGAAGCTTAGCGTCCTTCATTAACGCTTTCGTTCGTGGCCCGTGCAGCCTTGCGTTATTCGTTCCCAAACAACATTTTATATTTCATTTCAGTTCCTCGAAAGTTCGAGAAAGCAGTATTGGAGGTTAAGAAATGGTGAAAAGTGTACTACGCACTTATCCGCACCGTAGTGATATGGGCTCGTGAGAGACACGCCCACTTCCAGTGTGAGGAGCCAGCGCGTGTTTTTCCCTATGGTTTTTCCCCGCACAGTGTCACTTAGATGCGATTTGCATAGCCTGTTTTGTACTGTGGCAGCCAACGCGTTACCTCTTGTCATTTTCCATTAAATTACTGTTTGGGTAACCTGAAGTGCTAATCTGAATTGGAGACATTTAAATTGTGTGTGACGCGGAATGTTAGTTGTGTTTTGTGAACTGCAGGGGGCAGTGAGTGAGTCCTATATGTAGTCACTGCTGATGATAAAGTTTGAGTCATGCAATTTATCGGTCCCTTGTGTGTGTGTGTGTGTGTGTCTGTGAAAGAGAGTGAGTCACATCTGACGGGAACCCTTATGGAAGGTGCTGTTTATCACGTCCCAGAGAATATGTTTACCATGAAGATGAATCTATGGATTCACGAGAATAACTAACAATATAGATGATTTTATGCACCATAATATATTTACAATGTTGGGTAGGTTACTTCGATGTAATAGGTTACAGATAACAAGATACCCTATTTAAAATGTTATAAGTAGTGTAACTATTTCAATTACTTTATTAATGTAACTGATTACATTTGATTACTTTTCTAAATTCCTAGCAGATTTCTAGCAGTTGTACTCAACACTGATTACTGTCAGACTTTCAAAATCCTTCATCGCTTTAATTGATAATATAATCATTTAATTTTAAAGCACAGCCACCACAAAATCAGACTTTAGCACCTCTTTTTACTTTGAGTTCGTTCTGAGGTTAAATACAGATTTAAAATAATAAGCCGTTTAATATCTATGATACTGTTTCTGAAATCAAATTTTTGCATATAAATGACAGGAAACACTGGCATCTAACAATGCCTTGGAAAAAGCAGTTAATCTTAAAACATAAAGCATATACATAAACCCAAACAGGAAATAAAACTATTGGCTAAGATGAATGAATTATCGAATAAGCATGTGTTCTATTCTGTGTCCTAAACTCCTGAAACATTGGTGTCTCATATTTTAGAGCAGTCAATACAATTTAGGAAAGAAATCAATTAAATCTGTATGTGTGTGTGAAAATATTCAGATATATAACCCGCTTTGTAATCTTTAACATTTTCAGAAGTAACTAATTTAATTACAAAATTTTTCTCAGTAACAGAGTACAGTTACATTTATTTTATAATTAAATCACGTAATTCCATTACATGTAACTAGATACTCCCCAACACTGTATATTTATATAAAATAATTATGTCTAATATATATTATATATCGTGCACACACACATACTGTATAAGACTTCTTTGAATTTTTAAAAACAGTCTGAAATATTAATTTTATAAAATCCTTAAACATACTGTTTGTTCCAGTGTTGTCTGAATGTGAGCTCAGCTCGGCTGGATGTGTATTTATCCCATATATAAGTATTGCTCATGTGCACTGTAGCCAGGTGAGGCTGATGATGGAGGAGGTGTCAGGTCCCCAGTTCTGCACTGCAAAGCCCCCCCACAGTCTTCTGGAATGGAAGAAGAGGGTCAAGTCTGAGTACATGAGGTTAAGACAGCTGAAACGCTTCCGCAAAGCTGAGGAGGTCAAGGTAGAAGGTCTTTTGCAGTATTGTTTTACTTTTCATTCCTTTACTCTTTCAATATAATTTATTCTGTATTTCTATACTAGTTTGGGGTCAGTAAGGTTTTTTTTTTTTTTTTTTTTTGCAGTTAATAATTTTATTCATCAAGGATGCATTGATCAAAGGTGGCAGTAAATACATTAATAATGTTACAAAAAATTTGAGTTTCAAATGAATGCTGTTCTTTGAACTTTCTATTCATTAAGGAATCCTAAAGATTTAGGTTTCAAAAAATATTCCAAAAATAACGACAAAGAAATGTTTCTTGAGCAGCAAATCAGCATATTTGAATGATTTCTGAAGGATCATGTGACACTGAAGACTGGAGTAATGATGCTGAAAATACAGCAGGAATAAATTACATCAATATAAGACGACCGTGTTTTTTCAGATGTATTTCCAAGAAAAAAACATCGTCTTATATTCGAGACAATACGGTATTTTAAAATGTATTAAAATAGAAAACACTTATTTTAATTTGTAATTAAATGTCATAACATTACTGTTTTACTGTTTTTTTCATCAAATAAATGACGCTTTGGTGAGTATCTGTCATAGTGTGCCAAAGACGAGGACTAGGAGAGATGCAGGTAACTTTTATTAAGTAAACACAAACTCATATCAATAGAGGTATCTCCGTGGAAGCAACTGAGGTGAATGTGGCAGAGAGTGCATGAGAGAGGCACTTCCGGTTCTGTGGAAGGAGGGAGAACAGGATCAGTGACAGGTTTGAGTAAGGATACATGAAAGGTTGGTGAAATACGGTATTGTCTGGGTAATTGGAGTTCATAAGTCACTTCATTTATCTGCCTCAAGATATTGAAGGGACCTATGTAGTGGGGACTCAGCTTTTTGCAGGGCAGTCGTAGGCGGATGTCTCGAGTGGAGAGCCAAACTCGATCACCTGGCTGATAGAGAGGTGTATCCCGACGACGGACATCCGCCTGAGCCTTCTGACGTCGGACTGCCCGCTGAAGATGGATGTGAGCTGAGTCCCATACCCTCTCACTCTCTCGGAACCAGTAATCCACGGATGGGACTTCAGACAGTTCTCCTGACCAAGGGAATAGTGGTGGTTGGTAGCAGAGTATACACTGAAAAGGAGTAAGGCCGGTGGACTCCTGACGAAGTGAGTTTTGTGCATACTCGGCCCAAGGAAGGTATTGGCTCCAACTGTCTTGCTGGTGGTGACAGTAGGCCCTGAGATAGCGCCCTATCTCCTGGATCTTCCGCTCAGTCTGGCCATTCGTCTGAGGGTGATATCCAGAAGAGAAACTAACCGACACTCCCAACAATCGGAAGAATGAGCGCCAGACCCTGGAGATGAATTGAGGCCCTCTATCTGACACTACATCCTCTGGAATGCCAAAGTGTCGGAAGACGTGGTTGAAGAGGGCCTCTGCAGTTTCAAGGGCGGTAGGTAGACCCTTTAACGGAATGAGTTTGCAGGCCTTGGAGAATCGATCTAGTGCAACGAGGATGGTGGTAAAGCCGTTAGAGGCACGTAAGTCAGTGGCGAAATCAACTCCTAGATGGGACCAGGGTCGATGCGGAATTGGCAGTGGCACCAGTTTGCCCTCAGGTAGACAACGGGGTGTTGAAATAATGGCAAAGACTGAGCATCCTTTCACAAATCAGGCGACGTCCTGGGCCAGGTTGGGCCACCAATACCTTCCCTCGAGGAGTGAGAGGGTTCGCTGCCTGCCTGGATGACCTGATCCCGGAGACGCATGTATAGAGTCCAGAAGGAAAATCCTGAGGGAAGTTGGTACTTATGTCCCGGTGGAGCAGGTTCTTCTTTGGTGGCGGCACGGATGTCGTCGTCGAGAGACCAGATGATAGGACACACAAAGAGGTCTGGAGGGAGCACAGGTTCCGGATCCTCAGATACAGGGTCAGGTGAGTGAATTCTTGATAGAGCATCGGCTTTGGTATTTTTATGGCCTGGATGGTATGTGACGATGAAGTTGAATCGAGTGAAGAATAATGCCCATCGAGCCTGTCTGGGGTTTAGGCGTTTTGCCTCTCTGAGGTATTGCAGGTTTTTGTGGTCAGTTATAACCTCAAATGGATGATTTGCTCCCTCCAGCCAGTGCCGCCACTCCTCTAGGGCCAATTTAATGGTGAGCAGTTCTCGGTTGCCGATGTCATAATTCTGCTCCGCCGGGGATAGCTTCTTTGAGAAGTAGGCACATGGATGGAGTACAGGGGGTTCACCTCTCCGCTGGGATAGCACTGCTCCGACTCTGAGAGATGAAGCGTCCACTTCGACAATGAAGGGTCTGGGTGCCGGAGAGCTGGAGCAGTGCAGAAGGCGGCTTTTAGTTTTTGGAAGGCTTCGACTGCATTATGTGTCCAACAGAGACGTTTAGGTTTCTGGCGTAGGAGAGAGGTTAAGGGAGATGAGAGTTCACTATAGTTACAGATGAATGGTAGGTAGAAGTTTGCAAACCCCAGGAAGCGCTGAAGATCCTTGATGGTAGAGGGTTGTGGCCAATTCTTCACCGCTTCCACTTTGGTTCGATCCATTTGGATACCTTCCGGCGTGATGTAGCCAAGGAACTGGATGGTAGGTTGGTGGAACTCACATTTTTCCAATTTCAAGTAGAGGTGGTATTGGCGGAGCAGGCTGAGTACTTATTGAACATGATGGATATGGTCAGCAAGATTGGAGGAATAGATGAGGATATCATCTATGTAGACTATTAAAAATTTTTGGAGCATGTCGCGGAAGATTTCGTTCATAAAATTTTGAAAGATTGAAGGCGAGTTGGAGAGCCCGTACGGCATATTCTGATATTCATAGTGTCCTGATGGAGTAATGAATGCAGTCTTCCACTCATCTCCCTGACGGATGCGGATTAAGTTATAGGCACTGCGAAGATCTAGCTTCGAGAACAGGTGAGCTCCACGCAGTTCCTTGAGTGCCGCAGGGACCAAAGGAAGGGGGTAAGCAAACTTTACCGTCTGGGAGTTTAGATTGCGATAGTCAATGCAAGGTCCATGGCCGGTGAGGTGAAAGTTTTGTGGCAGCCGTCTTGCTGAAGACGTCCTGGAACGCCCTGTACTCCTCTGGGAGGTTGATTTTTGCAGTAGTTTCCGGGCTCTCAATGGATGTCAATCCCAGGATGGCAGTTCTCAACAAAGGAACAGGTAGTGATCGAAGGCAATTTTGGATGCAGAAATTACTCCACTGTTCGATTCCCCCTGAGCTCCAGTTGATGATAGGTTGGTGTTTAGCCATCCAAGGCCGTCCCAAGACAACGTCGACGGCAGATTCCTCCAGCACCAGCAACGATAGGGTCTCCTCATGCAAACAGCCAATGCGAAGGGTTAATTCCAGAGTTCTCCACTGCACCAGTCCGTTGTCCAGCGGTTTTCCTTGGATTGTGGTAATCTGATAGCGTGTGGGATTTTTTTGACGTGGAATCTTGAAGGTAGGTAATAGGCGTGAGGTAATGAAATTTCCAGAAGAACCAGAGTCGAAGAGGATTTTTACTGGGAAAGACCGATTGGCATAGATTAATACAGCATCATGATATCGAGGGTTATTAACTACAGAGTTGACTTGGATAGTACTCACCGCTGGACGTGGAGGACGGACTGGGCAGGTTTGGATGAGGTGATCATTTCCTCCACAATACAGGCATAGCTTCTGTTGTATGCGACGTTGGCGTTCAGAGGTGGATAGATGGTACTGTTCCGTTTGCATGGCTTCTTGTGCTGAAGAATCGTTGGAGAGTGAGATGTCAGAAGCATTTTCCTCAACGGAGACCGCGAATAAATGTTGCGAGACGTGTTGGGCCTTAAGCATGAAACTCTCCAATCCCACGGACTCCTCATAATTAGCCATCTGCTGACGAAGTTTGGGGTTTAATCCACATCGGTAAGCTGAGAGGAGTGCAATCTCGTTCCAGCCGCTAGATGCCGCTAGTGTGCACAAAATGAATGGTGTATTCATGGACAGTCCGCTCAGCTTGTCGCAGTCTGAAAAGTTCTTCATGCACAGAGAGGGAAGATGCACCATTACCAAACACGTCTTTAAAATTAGTTATGAAAGAGTCAAGGGATCGAATTACCGGACTTTGCGAGCTCCATAGAGATTCGGCCCATTGACGAGCTCTTCCTGACAGCAGAGAGATGATGAAGGATATCTTTGCGCAGTCTCCGGAGAACTGATGGGGAAGCATCTCAAAATACAATTGACATTGTAATATGAATCCGTTACATTCTGACACATATACTGCTGGTTTGGCCATGGGACAGGCGGAGGCAGGTGAAGTGACTGATGGTTGAAGTTCCGTGCGAAGTGTCGTGATGAGTTCGGTGACTGGATCCGGTTCAAAAGGTTTCCTGGTTTCCATAATGTTTCTCTTTTGGGCTGGTCTTCTGTCACAGTGTGCCAAAGACGAGGACTAGGAGAGATTCAGGTAACGTAAACTTCACTTTTATTAAGTAAACACAAACTCATATCAACAGAGGTATCTCCGTGGAAGCAACTGAGGTGAATGTGGCAGAGAGTGCATGAGAACAGTCTTATCTGAGACACCCGGTTTCCAATCCACAGTTCTTTGAGCACACGAAGATCTTGATGATAGGCAGAGCACAGGTAAGTTACAGTCCTTTAGCAGAGCCGAAGAGAAGGTCCTAGAAGGAGTAACCTTGAGACCAGCCGATGAGCCAGAGTGGTGAGTGTGCTCTTATAGTATGTGATAATGAGGTGCAGGTGCAGGTGCTCAGTATTCCGGTGATTGAGGGCATGGCTGTGTGACAATATCTGACTTTCAAAAAAAAAATAAACAATCTTACCAACCCCAAACTTCTGAACGGTAGTGTATTTCTTTTAGAATTTTTCATTATTCTGCGACCTTTTATTTACTTGATTTGTTAACTATGTCATTCTAATTAGAAAAAGTAGCTTTCAATTCATATAATTTAGTCTTTTTAACTGTTAAGCTTTTTCACAGGCTCTTTTCCAGTCGAATCGCCGCAAGATTGAAGGAAGAACTGAGCTGCTGAATGAGGAATGGTCCAAGCTCCGAATCCAGTCCATTCCCCTTTCCACAACCAGTGGCTCTCTGCCCAGCAAAAAGGCAAGAATGACACAGCTGGAGGCCTTGACCACCACAAACCAGTGTCAGTCATCTTGCATCTGCTCTGTGACACTAGATCGCTTTACTGTGAATTGCCCCTGCTAATTTAGCACAAGACTGTCCCACCTAGCTGATTTATGAGCTGAATCAATACATAGTCAGCTTTGCCTCGCCATTTCCAAACATAATTTATTCTAACAAAATGCCAGTAATGACTCAAGATCAGGTGCCACAGTTTGCCTTCTATTTCCTGCAGTATCCTACCTGACAAGCGTTTAGATCAATCTAATGATGTTATTAATGGACTGACTGTGGCACAGTTAACCTCTGATTAATTAGTCAGGGCAAATATTACCAGCAGGCCGGTAAAATGCAGCAGTGTTTTTTTTTCTCTCTTCATGAAATTGCTCTGTTGCCAAAAATGTATTTGTATGTTTGCCAAGCCAGAGCTCAATATCTGAAACTCCTGTGATATCCACAATAAAAGCAGCCAGCGGGCACAGCAGAGCTTAGCTCTCTGTGGAATACAGAGAGACTGCTCAACATACCAGCACAGCTGGATCCTGCTTGCAACAGCACTGGAAAACAATACCATACTTGATGTTCTTTAGATAACACCAAACCAAATATTTTGATTAGTGGATTATGATGATATTGTAATTTCCCTGGGCACACATTTGGTCCCAGTTCAATTCTTTTTGACCTTATGACATTTCTATCACTGATTTGGTTTGGAATGAAATTATTTCATTATTTATTCACATTTATTCCAGAATGACTTTTTGGTCGCACTTTATTTTAAGGTCCAACTCTCGCTATTAACAAACCATTAACTACGACTTCTGCCTCAATAAACTCCTAATTTGCTGCTTATTAATAGTTAGTAAGGTAGTTGTTAAGTTTAGGTTTTGTGTAGGATTAGGGATGCAGAATATGTGCTTTATAAGTACTAATAAACTACCAATATGTTAATAATGGGCATACTAACAAGCAACTAGTTAATAGTAAGAATTGATCCCTAGTGTTACAGACTTTTTTTCCCCTGTGAAACAAAAGGAGACATACTGAATACTGTTCGCTTTTTTACATTTAAGCATGACTGAAGCTTTTAAGCTTCAAAAAAGGACACAAAAGCATTATAAAAAATATGGTCTGTCTGTACAAATAGTGCACTATGTTCCTTATGAAGCCATGCGAGCTTTGAGTGATTAACAGACACAATTATAAAAATAAGTCGTTATCTCACACATTTCCATTTTGGTTTTTGATGAATCGTTTGATCCAGTTCAGAGAATGGTCTGAATGATCTGGCCACAAATCAGCCTCATCTGGTTCTCAGGTTCAGTTTGACTCAAACGATTTACAGCTATCATATGTCTTCAAGAAATTCAGACTTGGAATACAGTGCATGCATTGTATGGACTACTTTCATGATACATTTACATCCTTTTTGAAACTTGAAAGCCTCAGTTAATATTTATTGTAAAATGCATGGAAAGGAGTGACCAGTTTAATTCTTGAAATGTCTCCTTTTTTCCCGGAAGAAAGAAAGTCATACAGGTTTGGAACAATTTAAATGATGACACTATTTTAATTTTGGGTCAACTTTTCATTTAATAATACAATAGATTTAAATTCAGTAATCTGCCAGTAAAATACAGCCAATGTAAATTCATATATTCAAATGACATTGACTAATTAACATATGCAGGACTAAAGCAATTTAACGGTCCTCGAATAGTTTTGAGTGACACTTTGACTCGTCTTCTGTTTTCCTGTCTTCCCTTTCTTGTCCAATCACAGTTGTGCATGGTAGAGTCTGGCTTTCCGTCTTTTCCGTACCAGGCAGTTGCCATGCGTCCCTTGACAACTGTTGCTGGGATACCATTCATGTACTCCTGGTCCCCTTTGCAGCAGAACTTCATGGTACTGGATGTGGACAATAAGCGCACACACATTAACACACATAAAAAGCACTCAATCATGATCACCATTAGAAGCCTGTGTCTGCAGACAAATAAGGAGAGAGAGAGATGAAAATAGAAGAAAAGCATCATTTTTGACACTGGTCATTTTGAAAGTAGGTCACCCTGCAGCAGCGCATTCACATGTTCTGACAGCTCAAAGCATGTGTTTTTGAAATAATCTCTCAGGTAGAGCAGGATGTGCATCTTTTAAACGCCTACACTCACTTACAGGCACAAATATAGGAATACACAAAAACAGCCAACCACAAAACACATTTACAATGTCGTTGTGCATTTATCTCTCATTAGAAGAACCTCACTGATTCATGAATGCATATGGAACATGTCTTTATATAAATCAATAAAATCACAAAAAAGTCTTTCCTCCCTATCTTTGTTTCTGAGGTGGAAGATGAGACATTTCTGCATAATATCCCCTACATGGGAGATGAGGTATTGGAACAGGATGAAGCGTTCCTGGAAGAGCTTATTGACAATTATGACGGGGTGCATGGAGACAGAGGTGAGCATCACAATATGTATTTATACACATTACAGCTAGTCCTGAGCTGAATCTCTTCTGGAAAGCCCTGAATGTTTTAAATGCATTTTGTATTGTTTTTGTAAGTGTCATTTTTTTATGAAAAATACAATAAAAAAGTAATACTGTGAAATATTAAAATTTTAAAAAAAAATTTTTTTTTTTATTTAGATATATTTTCAAATGTAATTTATTCCCGTGATGGCAATGTTAAATTTTCATCAGCCATTACTCCAGTCTTTAGTGTCACGTGATCCTCTAGAAATCATTCTAATATGCTGATTTGATGCTAAAGATACATTTCTTATTATTATCAATGTTGAAAACAGTTGTGCTGCTTAATTTTTTTTGTGGAAACTGATACTGATAGAAGTCGTTTGTAACATTATAAATGTCTTAAATATCACTTTTGATCAATTGAATGCATCTTTGCTGATTGAAAGTATTCATTTCTTTAAATAGTACTGACCCCAAAATCTTTGAACCGTAGTGTTCATGCCAATCAATATGTAACTTGTATGTGAATCTTAGACAGGCAGTAAGTTTGTAAGTATCTTGTACCAACAGAAGGAGGCTTCATAAATGATGAGATCTTTAAAGAGCTGGTGGAGGCACTGAGCCAATACTCAGACCCAGAGGAGGAGGAAGAGCCCTCGGAGAGAACAGAGAATAAGGAGGAGGAGGAGAAAGCGGTGCAGAAAACTATGGGTGAAGGACCAGAAGAGTCAAAAGTGGGCTTCTTCAAATGGAAGAGGAGCACTGCTGAAGGTGAGTTAGTTTTGAGCAGAAGCAAAATAATGGAATAATTATTATAATAACATTTCATGTAAAATATATGATATAATACATTTAAAAACTATTCATTTTTGTTTAATTAGAGTTTTTATTTAATTTTATTTATTTTAAAGGAAACACAGGTTTACTGTCCAAACACGTATTAATGCCTTTGTATTATTAAAAAAAAAATAAGAAGAAGACCTTTAAATAAATAAATAAATCAGTACTTTTGATGATCATATGTTAGGTCAAATTACCATAGAATTAGGGCTTTTAATAGACAATCGGTGGTGTAGCACTGTACAGCTTTCAGCTTTCCAGTGATTTGAATTTCACTGGTTTAACAACAAATAGACTAGAGCTCACATGCATTGCCCATCAGATCAGCCTGTCTCTGTCTATGTGCAATTGTTTGCTCTGAGTGTCGCCTCTATTCCCAGTGAGGGCTGGACAAACCTGTTTGTTTTAGGACAGTATCCAGTTACGGTACACCCTGACCCTTGCACATGCACACACACATAAGCCCATGCACTACTCTACTTTTGCTTTAAAAGTCAAATTCAGGACAATGCTGATTTTAGTCTCGCTTTTTCCTCACTAGGAAGAGAGCTCTCCGCCAATAAGAAGATTCCTCATGACAAGATTTTCACAGCTATTGCCTCTATGTTTCCATACAAAGGCACCATGGAGGAGCTGAAGGACAAGTAGGCCACCCTGTTGATTTTTAAGCCTTCATTTTTAGAAATGAATGGAATCAGGACATGAAGCAGATTCAAACCGGCTTCTCTCACAATGCACACCAAATTGTGTATGCTGTCAAACTGTTTTCTAAATACTCCCATGTCTGCCATTGTTTGACAAACAGGTTAGCTTGCTTTAGTGATTTTCAGTTCAGTCCAGTTAATTAATTTACACAATGCTGTCCATCCATAATGGCAAACCTAACATGCGTGCACATTCTTCACATGACTAGGAAAGTATATGTCATGCCACCTTCAAGTTGTGGTAAATGAAGGTTCATGGGAAGCTCCTCGAGCTCTGCTGTCAGCTGGCTCTGCAGCCCCCGCAGCAGCAGTGGAAACAAAAACCCGTCACAGTCTGCCTTATCATCCAACTGTTTACTGTTTCATGTCATTATTGTTCATTCCACCAGCTGTGCTCATTTTATTTCTTTCCGCTGGCTGGTGGAAATCTGTGGGTGAGAGTTATATTTAATGGCCTGTTATGTGTGTCAAACAAATTCTGCACTTTAAAGGGATAGTTCATCCAAAACAGAACATTCTGTCATCATTTTATTCACCCCAAACTTGTATGACTTTCTTTCTCTTTTTTTTTTGACTTAAAAATACACAGAAATAATACTTAAAGGCACAATATGTAATTTTCGCCGCTAGAGGGCGCGTATTCAAAATAAACAAATAGACAAAGAGCGCTTCCGCTCCTTCCGGTCGTGCGTATGTGGGGGAAAAAGCAGCGCTGTTTTTAATCAGACTAGATATAGTACATTCTATTAAAATGCACAACATATTAAAGCATCTTTGGTGTTTCCATATTTTCTACAAAACAAAACCGGAAATCGAGGGGTTATGACGTCATTGGCAGGCGACACAATGACACTATGGACACGGTCCGTGTCACTAGTTAAAATTGCTTATTTCTCTGGATTTAAACATTCTTCGAAACATTTGGGATAATGTAAGTACACAAGTCAGCAAAATATATAACACTGTTCTAGTGGTTTTTGAATATCTTAATAAAAAAATCTTACATATTGTGCCTTTAAGTACACTCAGTACAACAGCTCATTGTGACTACGGCTGTTTTTATGCAACATGAGGATGAGTATATAATGGCAGAATTGCACATACACTACCGTTCAAAGTTTAGGGTCAGATTTTTTTTTTTAAAGAAATTAATAATTTTATTCAGCAAGGACACATTAAATTGATCAACAGTGACAGTAAACACATGAATAATGTCACTAGAGATTTCTATTCCAAATAAATTCTGTTTCTTTCTATTTCTTTCTTCAGATAATTCAGAAAAAAATGTGTCATGGTTTCCACAAAAATATAAAGGAGCGCAGCTGTTTTAAACATTTATAAATAATGAGAAATATTTCTTGAGCAGCAAATCAGCATATCAGAATGATTTCTGAAGGATCATGAAGACTGGAGTAATGATGCTGAAAATTCAGCTTTGATCACAGAAATAAATTACATAAATTACTAAATATACTAAAATAGAAAATTATTATACAGTTATTTCAAATTTGAATAATATTTCACAGTATATATATTAAAATATTCTAACATATAATTATAATATAACATTTTTGTTATAATTTCATTATAATATTTTTGACCAAATAAATGCAGCCTTGGTGAGCATAAAAGACTTCTTTCAACCCCAAACCTTTTGCTGTAGTTTCAGTTTAGTGTGTTTTGCTGTTATTACAAATGATAGTGTAAGTGTATTTTTCTCTCTCTTGCAGGTATAAGGATCTCCTGGAGCCACCCAGCCCTGTGAAGTTGCCTCCTCTCTGCACGCCCAACATGGACGGCCCCTTAGCCAAATCTGTTCAGAGAGAGCAAAGTCTGCACTCTTTTCACACACTTTTCTGTCGCCGCTGCTTTAAATACGACTGCTTCTTGCACCGTAAGAAATTATAATGTCCTTCTCTAGTCTTCTGCCTTTTTGTGTTTATTCAAATGGAGAGCATGATGCATGATACAATCTGTCCTTCAGTGCATGTTCCTGAATTATGTACAGTGCAATACCTTTCATGTATGATACCATATTGTACAATCTTCATCAGTACATCAAGCATACAGATATACCCTGTTTAAACTTGGCAATAAAGTTTGTCTAAAATGATCAGCTCACAAGTGGTCAGCTGAGTATCATACTATATTTAGTATAATTATAATTATGCTATATTTAGCAGTGACCACATATGATTGAATCATCCAAAATGGATGTAAATTAGTACGTTGTTTGTGTTTAGCTTTCCATGCATCTCCTAATGTGTATAAGAGGAAGAATAAAGAGATCCGAATGGAGACAGAGCCCTGCGGACTGGACTGCTTTCTGCTGCAGGTACAGCTTTCTGAGTACATAACAATTTCATACGTTTTTCTACTTAGCTGAGAATTTATAATTTTATGAACTTGGATTAAATTTATATCTTAATTAAATGTATAATTTATAAAGTTCTCTTTATCCCTTCTTTGGTCGCAGAAAGGGGCAAAAGAGTTTGCTGATCAAAACATGCAGAGGTCTCAAAGGCCCCGGCGTGGACGGCGACAGCCCCGCCCCTCGAGTTCCTGTGGCCCCACCCCCTCAGGCTTCTGTGAGGAGGGAAAAGAAGGAGACAGCGACCATGAGACCACCAGCTCCTCAGGTACAGTGGATAAAGAGTTAATAGTTTATCCAGACCAAAATAACACAGATGAAACACACAGCCAAACCTTCCCTCGCCAAAAATAACTCTTGTCCCATGGTGAGTTGTTTGTCTAAATTGCAACAGAGACATCACTGGAAATGTTTGCAGAAACACAGGAACATTATGAGTGGTGCTTGCTAAAGTAATAATTATTATTTTCACCTGTCGGATGATTAAACGGGGAAACAATTGTATAGGGTTCTTTAAGGGAGGGATTCAAGCCATATCTAGAGAGAGTATAATAGAGATTTTGGCTTAAAATCATCACATTCTAGCAACCACCAAAACATGCTTGGAACCACATAGCAGTGCACTAACAACAACTCAGAATGGCCTAAAACTCACGCACAATGTATCAGTACCATTACAGATACATCATCTGGTCATCAACCGATACAGTATTACAATCTTTTTAATGTATCATATCGGTTAGTATTTAATTGTTTATTCTCATTTTTACATCTTATGCTCACTTAAAGTTAATCTTTAAAAAAAACAAATAATTTAATAACATAATCTTTAACAAATTTCAAGATTAATAAGATTAATGTTTTGATGCCTAAATCCACTTGTAGCATTTAAAAATGACAAATTTGAGTTTTTATTGTATTCCTGTGACGGCAAATCTGAATTTTCAGCAGTCATTACTGCAGAAATCATTCTAGCTTGTTGATTTGGTGCTCAAGTAACAAATCGTCTTATTAGCAATGTTAAAAACAGTTGTGCTGCTTATTATTTTTGTGGAAAACTTGACATGTTATTCTAGGATTCTCTGATGAATAGAAAGTTAAAATAACAGCATTTATTTTTGAAACAGAAATCTTTCATACCATGTTAAATGTCTTTACTGTCACTTTGGATCAATTTAACGCATCCTAGCTGAATACAAGTAGTAATTTCTTTTTTTTTAAATTATCTTACTGACCCAAAACTTTTGGTTACACTTTATTTTGATAGTCCACTTTAGACATTCTACTAACTATGAGTAACTTTGTACCTACATGTCAACTACATGTCAACTAATTCTCATTAATTTGCAACTACATGTCTACTAACTCTCAGAGTAGACTGTTAGGGTAGGTTTAGGGTTAGTAGAATAAGTTGGCATATACTTGCAAAGTTTCTGATAGTCAGTATGTTGTATGTTGTGGACCCATCAAAATCAAGTGTTAGAAGATATTAAGCAGACATTCTACTAATACTCTAATGACTGCTAGTTGACACGTAGTTGCAAAGTTACTTACTGTTAGTAGAATGTCTAAAGTGGACTATCAAAATAAAGTGTTACCAAACTTTTTAACAGTAGGGAATTTAGACAAAATAGTATAGAATTTTAATTTAATAAGTTAATATCAAATACCATATGCTGCTATTCAGTTCTGATTTACTTCAGTAAAGAGTGTTTGGATGAAAACCTGACATTTAGCTGTGTGCTTATTTGTGTGTCAGAGGGTAACTCTCAGTGTCCCAGTCCCGCCAAACTGAAACCAGGGGAGGAAGGAACGGAGGAGTCCGAGTCGCCTCCTCAGTGGAGCGGAGCAGAGGAGTCTCTGTTCAGAGTCCTGCACGGCACATATTACAACAACTTCTGCTCTATTGCACGACTCATTGGTACCAAGACATGTAGAGAGGTACGCACACAAATGACAATGAACAGGAGGTTATATATGTGTCTTTTGCTAGTTTGATAATGTATCGTCTGGTAACTCACTGGTAAAGGAGTTTATTAATGCAGATCTAAATTGAATTAAAATGTATTAAATGTGCAGAAAGTTCTACAGTATATACTCAGGAGCAGAGACGACAAAAATGTGTGCGTTTAAATGTATGACTGTGTGCATGTGTGCCTGTGTGTTTTTCCCAGAAAGACTGTGGTTTGGCTAACTGGAAATGCGATTACCTCAAATCATGTGTTTTTCTTTCATTTAGGGAATGGTCCAAATCTTTTTCTAGAAGAGTGTTGTTTTGATTGTGTGTTTGTGTGTGTATGTGCGTGTTAGTGTGTGTGAGAGCTCATATGGCAAAGATCAACATGATAATGAGCGGTTACGTCTCAGCTGGGTTTCAGAGTTCTGACTAACGCCCATTAAGTGTTCACTGGATTGTGATGCAGTGTGTGTGTGTGAGTGTAACATGTTGCAATGCTCTGTCTCATGTGATTATGTATGACTTTCTGTCAGGTTTACGAGTTTGCAGTGAAAGAGGTGCTGATTCACCGTGTCCCGCTGGAGGATGGTGGGATCTCACCTCAGAAGAAAAAAAGAAAGCACAGGCAAGATGTTAACACACCACACCTGGCTGTCAGATTCTGGATGTTACACAGACAGCAAAATACTAACATTAGAGCTCAACTATGTTTCTGTTTGTTTGATAGATTATGGGCAAAGATACAGCTGAAGAAAGGTAAGACTCTCAACTTCAATACCAGACTGAGACGAGGTTTGGACAAACAGAAGGAAAAGTCATGGAGATGTCTGTAGTTAGGGAGATTATTCTGGCTGGTGATTAGAAGTCGGACAAATAAATAATCAGGTTAATGGTTTGTTCATGTGCATGTGCTTATTTCACATGTACCTTTAGAAATAATTTATTCACTTTCAACACAGAAACAAAGACTTTTTAAGACTTAGAAAACAAATATTAAACATGGTAGAATAACAAAAAAATGTAATATTCTAAAGGTTTCAGTTCTTCATGTAACATTTATTGTAATTTTATTTGCAACACAAGTATTTTCAGTATTTTAAAGTATTTAAAATGCAGTCAGAATATTGGAATGGTGTTAAAAATTTGCACAAAAAAAGCATATCTATCATCATCATAGTAATTATAGTCAGTATAATTCAGTTCTAAAATATTTGTTTATTTTTAATCTATTAAATATGATTATTAAATATTGAAATGGCAGTAAGGCTTTACAATAAGGTTCATTTTTAACAGTTAATGCTGTAAGACTCAGAGCATTTATTAATCTACACTATATGCTGATGATAGGTCATTGGTGTTTGTTAATAATACATGTTAATCAAACCTTATTGTAAAATGTTAGCAAAACTGCTCTTTGTGAGTGCAGTTTCTGAAAAGTAACTGCACTGGTGTATGTAATAATCACAAATTTTTGGAACCATAATGGAATGTCTTTGTTCAGAACGAATTGTTCTCATTTCCCTTTCTATTTGTCTTACAGACAACTCGTCCAATCAAGTGTACAATTATCAGCCATGTGACCACCCTGAGCACCCATGTGATAGCTCCTGCTCGTGTGTGATGACACAAAACTTTTGTGAGAAATTCTGCCAGTGTGATCGGGAGTGTGAGTTCAACACAAACGAACATACAGTATACACACGCACATACAAACTTATGAAATATATTCTAATTCAAGTATACAGTATTACACTGTTCTAAAATAAAGGGAAAAACAGCCCCTTTTGTTTCAGAACATTTAATAAGTAAAATAATCCTTTCTTATAGATATATAATATCTATAGAATTACATTTCTGTCCAATGCTCAAATATTTCTCCTGTTTTATGTCTATACACCACGAGGGGGCACCAACAAAACAAGCAGTGAAGAAATGACACACTTTAACTCTAATAAATTGTTGTACCATTTTGACATTTACTCAGACTACGTGATTTTGAACATCCATTTATTTTAGGTATAAGAACACCTCAAACATTCACAGGTCACTTTAGCCAAGTTCTGCTCTGGGTTTTTGTTCTAGGTCAGAACCGGTTTCCTGGCTGTCGCTGTAAGACTCAGTGCAACACCAAGCAATGTCCGTGTTACCTGGCGGTGCGGGAGTGTGACCCTGACCTCTGCATGACCTGTGGGGCCGCAGACCACTGGGACAGCAAACAGGTCTCCTGTAAGAACTGCAGCATTCAGAGAGGACTCAAGAAGGTATGAAGTACATTCCACTGACACTGTAAATGATCTATCTATCTATCTGTCTATCTATCTATCTGTCTGTCTGTCTGTCTATCTATCCGTATGTCTGTCTGTCTGTCTGTCTGTCTGTCTATCCGTCTGTCTATCCGTCCGTCTGTCTGTCTGTCTATCTGTCTGTCTATCCATCTGTCTGTCTGTCTGTCTGTCTATCTATCCATCTGTCTATCTGTCTGTCTATCTATCCATCTGTCTATCTATCCGTCTGTCTGTCTGTCTGTCTATCTATCTGTCTATGCGTCTGTCTGTCTGTCTGTCTGTGTCTGTCTATCTATCTAT